ATGGTTTCCACGGTTTCTGAGCATCAGTCATCATCCTGCATCGCCAAGATTATACTTTAGGCACATTAGACAGAAATGAATTATGTACTAACCTCAAAATATAATATTAGAAATATTTATGCATGCAGTTCTTCAGTAAACTTAACAGCTTGCTTTCTTGTCATCTGACACTCTCAGAGTAGAGAAGTGCGGAAAACTTAATGAATTCAGAGTTCTGGGAAGTGACGGCTTGTGAATGAGGTTACACTGTATTCTGCTCCTTTTTTCCCCAATCATATTTATTTCTCATTCTTTGGCATCCAGTCCTTCTGCAACATCTTCTATTGTCTGTTTTATTCAATAGTCAATCACTGAAAATCAGGTAAGTCATTCTGGCCACAAAGAAGAGCTTGATCCTTAAGAGACAAGCCAAGAAACAAACCTTGGCCACTAAGACTTGGGGTCTCATGAGGGCATTATTTTCAGAGTTCAAATTTGTTTCTGTTGTTATTTTTTAGTGGTTTGTTTATTTGGGTTTTTGGTAGGTCGCCAAGAAGATCTGAAAAATCCTATCTCACTTAATAGCTTTTTAGGATCTATCCAAAGCTTCGCTGTGCTTGTTATTTTCTCCTAAGTCACTTGATGTCCTCATTTATACACCCTACTTAAAAAACTCAATCACGAGAGTGTACGTAGAAATGGGATGTCTTTTCTCCTTTAAGCAACATCACTCATTCTTTCCTAAAGGTTTTACTTTTATGTGGATTGTTCTTTAAGAATCACTTGGAACAATGCTGCAAAATAATGCAGCTAAATGTTTAAGCAATTAGAGAGTGGTTAGTTTTATTAAACTTTGTACACAGAGTTTTGTTTGCAAAATGTTTACAGCTACTAAGTGGTTGTAGTGCATGACTGATTTGTGGTAAAATTCTAGCAATATAAATTCATTCCAAAGAAAAACCCAGAAAGACCAAGTGACTTGCCAGGATCACACTCTGCACAGGAATGAAGAAAAATGCAGATTAGTACTTTTAGTTGAATAGTTGCCATTTAAATAGTTACAAGCAAATTAGGTATTTGCATATTACATAAATAAAAATTAATTTATACCAACATCATAAGGCAAATGAACCATTTGTGAATCTTGTAGTATTTGACATGCTTATTAATAAATGAAAACTTTAAACGTTTTAGTTTATTACAATATTATTGCTTTTTAGAAAGGTATATTTTATTTTTTTAAAGTATTTGTGACTTGTTAGGGCCTTATCACTTATTACTTGGAGCCACTCCCACCTCTCACCTCAGTAACTTCACATAATAGTTTTCAGTTAAGTAATGTAATGGTTATTTTTCCAAATAATTATAAAGAAGATCCCTGATTAAAGACATTGGTAATATTCTTTTCTTATCTATGGGTAGGTCTCCCAAATTTTAGCAAACACATACATATTTCATCTCTCTTTCTCTACACAAAGAGTTATCAGGTATGATATCTATTAGGCTATTACAAATATGACCCCAATCCTGGAATAGAAAAAGGACCTTAGTGGAAAAACTAGTGAGATGTGAATCAAGTCTGAAATTTAGTTAACAATAAGGTACCAATGTTGGTTTGTTAGTATTGACAATGTACCATGATTACATACAATATAACAGAGGGTGAGAGATAGAAAACTTCTTTGTACATCTTTTCTTTAAAGTTATTCCAAGAAAAAGTTTATCTAAAAAGTTAGGTACTGTAAGCAGAAAGTTTGAGTCTAGACATGAGTACTTTGAGTTGTATAGTTATCTACTGCTGCATACCAAATAACCCCAAAATGTAGTGGCTTAAAACAACAAACATGTATTATGTCACAATTTCTGTGGGTCAGGAATCTGGGCACATTTTAACTGGGTCCTCTGGTTCAGGGTCTCTCATAGGCTACAGTCAAGGGTTTGGCTGCACTTGCAGTCATCCCCAGGCTGGTTGCAGGGGGATTCATTTTCAAGTTGACTCATGTGGCTCTTGGAAGGCCTCGGGTCCTCATGAGCTACTGTCTGAAGCCATCAATTCCTTGCCAGATGTGCCTCTCCATTGGGCAGATCCCAACGTGGCAGGTGTCTTTCCTTAGAGAGAGAGACAGACAGCACATGCAAAAACATGAAAGAATCACAGTCCATTTGTAACCTAATCTCAAAAGGGACATCCACTTCTGCTGCATTTTATCGGCAAGAAGCAAGTCACTAGGTCCGGCCCATGCTCAAGGGGAGGGGACTATACAGGTCATGAATACCCATAGGTGGGGATCAGTGGGGGCCATCTGAGAGGCGTCTACCAAACGAGCAGCCCCATGATTACATCCACAATGAAGAGAACAGCCCTGATCAAGGGAGAGGCACTGGAATCAGAGCGATCTGGGTTTGTACTCCTACACAAAAACCTTACAGTTACATGATCTTGGACAAATTATTTAATTCTTCTGTTTGTTCTCTCACGTGCAGAAATTTGAATTAATACCTACTTCATGGGACTATTTTGAAAGTTAGATTAAGTGAGATAATTCATGTAAAATGCTGAGCAAGTGCCTAGCACAAAATAAAAGCTCAGTGGTAGCTGTTACTATTGTCATCATTATTGTTGTTTCTTATCTGATTTAGAGTCACTTGAGCCTGACGCTGAAGAATTGCTGGAGTTCTCAGGCTGAGAAGGAGGAGGAAGATGTGGGCAGAGGGAATATTACACACACGCTTGGAAATGTGCAGGTGCCTGCAGGTCAGCAGCAGCAAGCAGCTGGGTGAGCTCAGAAGCCAGGCCCTAACTGGGGGGGGGGGGGGGGGGGGGTGTCTGGAGAAGAGGGTGGCCACCTAGGCAGGGGTGAGACACACGAAAGACAGAGAGGGAGGAAAGTCACGTGTCAGTAGAAGAATAACTGGACAAAACACAAAAGCTGGACTAAAGGTTAAGAGGTGGGGCAAGAAAGCCACCTAGGAGGCTGCTGAGGGTGCAGAGAAAGGGGTGGGTTTTGAAGAAGTTAAGACAGAAGAGAGGCAAGGCTTGGAGAGTGTGGGTGAGGCCGGGGCAGGGGAGGCGGTCAGCTTTAACCACTGCGAGAGCTGGTTTTGGGCAATGAAAATGAGCACAGCTTTGGCATAATAATTGAAAGAGGTTTAGAACAGCAGGTTAAGCTATCTAGTACCCTCTGGAGGCAAGGTTCAAGTACAGCTGCCCCATAGCCTGTTTTGAGTAAGGCGTCCTGGTGGAAGAAGGTTGCAGGGCAAGTGGCTGCTTGGTCCCGACTTGACCAGTTGAAAAGTCACGCAAATTATCTTCCAAATACCCGTGTGCGTGTGTGACTTATTGGGTGGCCAAGTCTGGTAAAGCTGTCTGAATGAACACGCGATCCTTTCTTTTAAAACTTAAAGATTTTGTATGAAAAAACTAGAAATATGGAAACAAGGAGTTGTGAAAAATATCTGTGGCTGGAGCTCTAGATGGGGAAAGTCATCACGTAGCAGGTCTATCTGGAAACAGGGGAGTAAGTAAGGTTACTCAGGGAAAACAGAGTAAGAAAGGAAAAGACAGAGTTCTGGGGAAATAATAACCACAGGACAGAAAAGGAAGCGAAATGGTCTCATTTGATTTGCGTGGCAGACAGAAAGTCCAAGCCCTAGCCCTGAGGTGAAAGGCCTTTCCCGGACAAATTATAAGCAGGAGTGGGGAGAGGCAGGGCGGGTGTGGGAAGGGTAGGAAGGTGGAGGCCTGAGCTTTGGGAAGCAGGACGAGCTGTCACCTGACGTCAGGCTGCGGAGCTGCTCCAGGCCGGAGGGAAAGCGGAAGGACAAGGCCTGGACTTTGCCAAGGTGCCCCTTCCATGCAGCAGGATGGCACGTGGAGGCAGCTGGTGGCGTGGCAGGATGGCCTTCGGCTAAATCAGTACCTGGGGCAGAAAGAAGCGGCAGAGGAGCCCTGGGAGGTGGGCGGCTGAGACAGCTCCCTCCCGTGCCTTTTTTTTTTTGTGGTACGCGGGCCTCTCACTGTTGTGGACTCTCCCGTTGCGGAGCACAGGCTCCGGATGCGCAGGCTCAGCGGCCATGGCTCACAGGCCCAGCTGCTCTGCAGCATGTGGGATCTTCCCGGACCGGGGCACGAACCCGTGTCCCCTGCATCGGCAGGCGGACTCTCAACCACTGCGCCACCAGGGAAGCCCCCTCCCGCGCCTTTTCACCCCACTGCTAGGACCTAGAAAACCCGGCGTTGTTTTTGGTCTAACAACTTCCTTTCCAGGGTAAGACGGTAAAATTCAGGAAAGTAGTTCAAGTGTGACCTGGGGCCTTCTTCACCTTGCTTTCCAAACCGAATGGAAACGTTAACTTTGTTGTGTCCTGAACATAGAAACCTAGTCATCTGTGCCATGTTCCCTCCCGCGCCTTGTCAGATTTAGCTTCCAGCCCACCTGAGCCTGGCGTTGCCCTGTAATAAAAGGGCCTGGCGGACCACGGGATCCACTCTACTCCACGGAGGCAGGGGAGCGTTTGAAGGTGAGGTCTACAAGCTCGCAGTGGGATATACTCCCGCTCTACGCCTTTCAAGTGACCCGAGACATCACTTCACCCACTTTTTCCTAGGTATCCAGTATCAAAACAAATATCCCCACAAATTCTGTGGAATTCCTCTAAAATACAACCATTAGCAATATGCTATTAACCATTTATTAGCATTAAAAACACACGTAATTCAGGGCAATGAAACTCAAAAACTGAAAGAAGAAAAACCACCTTGGTATTTGTTTTCTTGTTTCTTATTCACGGCCCCAAAGGTCACCAATACATTTTCTCCTCTTAATCGGCGGCACGGTGCTCTTCCCCAATCATTATAACCGATTTCAGATGGTGCTAGAAAATTATATTGACTCTGAACACCAAAAGAAATCAGTCATCCTCTAAGGGGTCATAGGAGGATGCGAGGGTTGGGAAGGGCCTAAAGATTAATAAATCCGCCACACACTCAGCCTTTTAACCCATGCACGACGGAGTCTGTATTACAGGAAAAATACTACAGAAGGTTTATTGTACAAATGAGTGTGAAGTTCTAGCAGTGAGACGTCGCATAATTAACCTGTTGTTTGTAACAGCACTGCTCACCGCTGGCGGCAGGGAGCTGGGCGGGGTGGGGGGTGGGGTGACGGCGGGGAGGATGGATCAGCTGCAGCGGCAGCGCCAGGTGGGCTCCCCTCACCGGCTGGTCTTTGCTTTCAAAGTCTTCAGGGCTGGTCCCATTCGTTCCTTTTGCCGCTGGCAGCGCAGCTGGTCTCCCCCAAGAACACTGATTTCAAATGGTGCTAGACAATCACTATTTAAATCTAAACCACCATGTGAAACCAGCTTCCTGAAGAAGCTTTAGGATCTGTTCTTCCTTCAGAGTGAATAAATAAGACAACCTAGAAAGGAAAAGGTTGAAGCTCTGCTGTCAGGTATTTACTTTGTGGTCTAAATCGAGCTTTAGCAAATCTCTGTACATGTGCTGCTCTCACCAAATCTGATGCGGGGCGGGGCGGGGTGTGTGTGTGTGTGTGTGTGTGTGTGTGTGTGTGATAGGGTTGAGAGCAAGCCTCACCCTCCCAGGTGGGGTGGGGCTCTGGATTTGAGGGCTGGGAGGTGTGTGTGTGTGTGTGTGTGTGTGTGTGATAGGGTTGAGAGCAAGCCTCACCCTCCCAGGTGGGGTGGGGCTCTGGATTTGAGGGCTGGGAGGTGTGTGTGTGTGTGTGTGTGTGTGTGTGTGTGTGTGTGTGTCTGTGACTCTTTATTCTTGAGCTGCCCAGATCAGAGTGCCCAGGTGCAGGATAAGTCAAAGTGCTACAACATACATGTAAATGGTACCAAGTAAGCAGGCGCTCTGGTACGCGTTCAAGAAAACGCTTCCCTAAACCTGGTGCCTTCGTTTGAAGATAATTTTGTTTGATTCAAAGGATGACTATGATTTGGGGGTCTAAGGAGGACAATGGAATAGCTCAGAGGTAAAGTAATATATTGATGCTAATGAGATCCTAATGTTTTTTCCAGAATGGAATTCCTTAGATTGCACCTATGAGTAAAGGATTTTTGTTGGCTTTACTTAAGATTCTGCTCCCCTCCACTCACTGCACTCCCTTCTCCTTAAATTATTTTTTGCTGCAGTTCTTTCCTCCTTCCCATCATGGTTCTTGATATCATTTTATTAGGAAGCCTACTGCCGTTCCCTTCAGGGTTCTAGGGATTCAAGAAGATACTTACTGTATCTGGGACACCTAACTAAAGAGATGTGCATTCTTTTTTTTTTAATGGTTATGAAAAATTCCACACATACATTAACTTTGAATGACAATAAATGTATTCCTAAATTTCTTCCACCTAAATTCAATAACTGTTCATTTTTGCCACTTTTGCTTTAGTGATGTTATCTACATGTACAACATATGTATACTTTTTGCTGAATCATTTGAAAGTAAATCAGCAACCATCCTGAGATTGTTTTCCTAACTTCTTGAGCAGGTCTAAAAAAATAAGGCCATTCTTCTATATTGTTACAATATCTTATTCATACCTAAGAAAATTAACAATTTCTTAGCATCATCTAACATGTAGCCTATATCCAATTTTTCCCACTTTCTCCAAAAAAATTTCTTTTGTGGCTTTGTTGGCTTGTTTTCAACCCCAAATCCCGTTGAGGTTCACTCACTAAGACTCTTTGGTTTCTTTTAACCTAAAACATTTCCCCACCCTTTTTTGGTTTTATCATGATAGCGTCACCTTGTGAGAATGGTTCTACTCTTGGCTGTACCGTTCACTTATTCTGCTTTCTTTGCTTAAATAAATTAACAGAAACTTAGCTTTTCTTTTTAACTTTCCTCATACATCAAATGACTGTGGGAAGAACAGCCAATTACAATGTGCCTGTGGTTGAGGATTTCAGGTGGGTTCAGCAGGATGTTAATATAAGCCAGGAGGAACAGAGGCTTCAGCTCAGGTCTGATTCCCATTTTTACCCCTGACAGGCTTGGCCACTTACCCCTCAATAGGAGATCCCAACGCAGACTCATCCTTCACAATGAAAAAGCATCACTGCACGTGCCTACCACTACTAGGCTGGTTTTTCCATCTCTTTAAATAAGGAAATAGCACACTATGGGCTGCAGCAGCAATCATTGCTGGGTAGCAATCACTAACTTCATCCAAGTAGCTCACTAACTGCAAAGAAATGCACATATTTTGTCAAGTGACAGGCAGTTAAATATTTCAACTGAATAGTAAATTCAAGCATTTAAAATTGAAAAAGTGCCAAGAATCACTGGCACTCTCAAATAACTATTTCACGAATTTTGTGATTAATTTAGGGGTCCCCTGTATCCTTCTGGATATGCTATTGTGATTGATAATAACAATGACTGAAGTATGCAAGATGCAGCCAGATTGTTCTCATTAGTTAAAAAATTCAAAACCCAGAACTAAAAGGTCTGCTTACTTTTTACAAATGACTAGTTACAGCTTTTGCTTACTGCCACTTAGAAGTTTTTTTGTTTTGTTGTTTTTTTTGTTTGTTTCCCTGAAGAGTGAATTTCTTCCTTTTACTTATGACTGATAAGATCATACATATCTTATACATCAAATATTATGTCACACCCACGCATGCACATATATGCGTGCACACACACACACACACACATATATATACAACTATACCGTTCTGTTACCTGAGCAGAAACAAAGAGATATGGTAAGTTTTCTGTATTATCCTTTAAGTATGTTTTTCAAAAAATTCAGAAGAACGAAGGTGGATATATTCTTTCCCATGTATGTCTCTTCACACGAGGAGGCATTTTCAGCAGACAAAGAGTAATTACTAGCACAGGGATCAGTCACGTAGTATACTTCTCTGAAGTCTGTAAGCCCTTGGGGGGAAACTGAGGTATTTAGTTGGTGACTGTGAAATGACTTAAACAAAATACAGTGAAGTAGAGATCTTGAGTTGGGCCTCTGTTTGTGTTTAATCGTCCAGCAAGAGGTCGGTTTCCTGCAAAGCGGTCTGCGTGGGCAGACTGGCTATCAAATTAACACAGAGAAAAAAAATCCCATTGTTCATTAGTAGGGAAGTGAAAAAGAAAAAAACAGTTGATAAATTAACAGGGGCTCGTTCATTCTCTTTCCAGGACTTACATAGGTAAACAGGATGACAGCACGTGGTATCTGCTTACTTTTCCCGTTGCGGAGCACAGGCTCCGGACGCGCAGGCTCAGCGGCCATGGCTCACGGGCCCAGCCGCTCCGCGGCATGTGGGATCTTCCCAGACGGGGGCACGAACCCGCGTCCCCCACATCGGCAGGCGTACTCTCAACCACTGCGCCACCAGGGGAGCCCTCTGCTTACTTTGTTGAGTCTTTCAGTGACAGTCAACTGCAAGGAAAGATCTTACTCAGTAAACATCAGCATGTTTCCACTCCTCCCCATCCTCCAACCTCCAACAATCAACCTGATTGTTCTGTATTTTCAGGGCAGGAGACGGCAGGGCTGAACTTCTGTAACTCAGGGTGTCTCTATTTTAACCATTGACAGTTTTAAGGTACTGCATCGTTTGAAAGGAATGTTATTTTTTAACAACTCTTTCTTACACACAGAACACACACTTAACATTGTTAAACTCTCCACCTCCACATTAAAGTGCTCACCTTTCAAGAACAAAATCCCTCCTTGGTGTCTCTCAGCACAGGGGCTACAAGAATGTGTTTCTATTTCAAAATCCCACCTGCGATTCCTTACTTCATGCTGTTCTGGAGCAAGCTGCCATTCTTTGTTTTTTTTTTTTTCTTCCAGATCTGATAGGAAAGTTAGAGCCTGAAATGTGAATCAATAAGCCACACCGGTAACTCCTGTGTGGCAAAAGCGGAACAGTGGAAACACGTTGTCTTTCCTTGAAGTGAAATGCCAGTCTGTTCTTGCACGAGCAAACTGGATTAAGATAACGTCCCCTGGGGCGTGAGGATATTTCATAAGGAGACAGTATCTGACTATGACGCGTCTCTAAAGAAGGTAGCTTCAGAACGTTACAGACTTCAGGATACAAGAGTCCTAACCCAAATATCCAGGCCAGACTAAAGATGCAACTGTTATCGGTTGGAAGGTGCTGGATCGTACGGTGGGGAGTTAGTTCTCTGTTGACTTACGTGCCTTTAATGAATACTTTCTTACAGGAAGCAGATAAATAAGTAGCGCAGGATCTGGAGTTCTGGCTCCAAGCTGAAGTTCTGGCTGTGCTGCTGACTAGCTGTGGGATCTTGGGCAATCATTTAATTTTGCCGAGCCTCAGCATGCCGATCTAGAGAACGGAGATACAAATTCCTATCCTGCACTGGTTCTTAGAGGCATATGGAATTCCGTGTACGGCAACAACTGTAATTTTTAAAAAAGCACTACACACAAACATTGTTTTATTAGATGGATCAGGACGCTGCAGTGCCGTTTCAGAGTGAAGGCCGACATGAACTGCGGAGCGGATGGGAAGGTACTCTGATAAATAATAACAGCTTCCATTTTTGGAAGACTTACTCTGTGCCAGACACTGTGCTACGTGCCTTCTATGCATTTTCTCATCATTCACAACCACCTACAAGGCTAGTGGCGTTACTTCCATTTTTCAGGTGAAGGAACAGAGACATAGCGAGGGTACAGCACTTGCTCTTGGTCACAAAGTTTAGGAATGGCAAGACCAGGATTCAGACTCCACTCCGCTTGATTCCAGGCCCAGGCTCTTACTCACCATTCTTTGCTGCTTGGTGCTTTATAGATACTGTAACGGCCAATCTTCACATGGCCATGTGGACCTCTGAACATAAACGGGCTCTGAGGTGCAGGGCTTCGTCAATAAGCACGTGAGCAAACCACTGAAACCAGCTTTGGTCTCGAACATCAGAAGCGGCACCTAACAACCAAGAGGAAGGAGAAAACTTGGAAACCGGTAGGATTTGGCCCCAGACCCTCCGCCACACTCTGACTTGGCGGCGTGACCATAAGCAAGTCACATCGTCTCTAAAGCCTTGTTCTCCTACTAGTCTTAAGCAAGCTCAAGCCTTTGTAAGTCCAGCAGCCCCCTCCTGCATGGGATCGTGGCAGTGCTAAAACACCGTCTCCAAATACAGCCCGCCAGCTCGTCCTCCAAAGCTGCCCGTTTCTATGGGGCAGTTTGGTGGAATGGTCCAACGCAGACTTCTGGGGCTGGAACATCAAGTTCTGGAACTCGCTCCCCGCACAGACTGGGGGAAGTTACTTGACTCTCTGTGCCTCGGTCTCCTCATCTGTGAAATCAGGGTAATAACAAGACCTACCACGTAAGGTTGTTGTGAGAATTAAGACAGAGAAGGAGAAGCAAGTGGAACTAGAAATAGCACATGTACACATTCAATAAATGACGGTTACAATGATAAAAATAAGATATCGGTTTTCCTTCAGCCTGTTATAAGCAGAGATGTGGCTAAGAGATCTGTCACGGCTCCCAAACGGAAGGGCTCCCGGATCCCGCGCCCACACCCTGAGCTGTACGGGGCACATTCCACAGTCGCTAACCACAGAGGAGTCTGATGAATACTAAACCCTGCAAAGATGCCCTCAGATCTACAAATGGCATCTCCAACGGAATGGACCAAAGTGAGTGGTTTTAGTATTTTCTGCCTTCTCCTCTTCCCATTGTGAGACCTGAATATGGGATCCATACCCTTGATTTTGAGCAGAAGTTCGTGTTACAGACTTTTTCTGATAGTAAATTGGAAGTTGAGTGTTTTAGAGAAAAAAAACCGAGATCAAACACTGATGACCGCCTAAAAAAAAACTTACTGGGGGATCCTCCAGGAACAAAATAAAACAAAGCTCCCGTGAGACTGAGTTTTGAGCACAAGCCTCTACTTACACAGGGTGTCAAAGAAATCTGTAGACAGATATTTTCCAGGCACAGACTTCCTCAGGGGGCATTTGTTCAGAAGACCAGCACCTGGAATTTAAAAGACAGTATATGAGCCCTTAGGAAACATCCCAGAGTTGACAGAGGAAACAAAGTCAGTTTTTTCGCTCGCTACTCCACCAGTGTGATAAAGAGATGAATTTTTTAGAAGGAAAAAGGAGCACCTTCTCTTTCCTGCTTAAGACACACAGGCTGGGAAAGTTCCTGCCCAGCGAGTGGCACACGCCTCCTCAAGCTGGAGTTCTCTCTGTGTGAAGCCGGTGTGGCTGTGTGCATTTCACAGCCCCTCAAAGTGTGTTCAGCTAGACGCCTTATGAAATAAAGCACTGTATGGACCCTATACCTCCAGTCACGGAGAAAGGCATGAAAGCAGCCTGCACACGAGGCTTCTATTTCCCAAACTGGTTTTGCAACCTCCTGCTGCAGCAGCACAGACTCCAGAGGGCCAGCAGAGGGCAGCACGAGTCTGTAAATTTGCCCTTTTCCTGCTTGGGAATCAGGCAGAGGACAATCTAGAAAAGGATCCGGGTGACTCTCTCCTATGTGGTCTAACTTTAAAGGTGGAAAGCACCTTTCACCACATCACAGGAGCGGGAGCCCACGTCGTCGAGGTCTTCGTTCCTGAAAACTGGTTGTTCGAGGGAACGCTCGAGTCTTCCGCCCACGGGGCCTGCCCAGCTCCTGGGAGGGCTTCGGAGCAGCTCCAAAGAAGGTTTCTTAGGGAGGCCTGGCTCTCAAACGCCCACGTTTCTGCCAGCGAGAGGCTGAGTGACTCAGCAGGCCATGCAGGAAAGTCTGTCCTGTCAAGTGACTGCCTATTGAAATGTCTAAGTTAATGATTACAACCCCTCGGAGGAGGAACTTCAACACCGCCAAGGCCAGAGAGCAGGCTTGCTCATCAGCGGACGCGTCGGACCTGGTTCACAGGTGTGACCTTTCAGCCGAGTGCTACTGAGCGGGACTGTGCTCAGGCGCTTCAAGATGCCGTCAAAACAGGGACGTACTATGTTAGGAAGATTCTTCAGAGTTGGGATTGAAATTCAAGAGGATCTTGACCAGTAAGAGAAACGGTTGAGAAAAGCAACAGGTATATTCAGTACTGTCTTACAACAGAAAAATCAATCTAAAAAAAATCAAGCAAGTGGAGAAGTACACATGGGAAGGAAGATCTATCAGGGTAAACACACACAATTCAAGCCGACGTGGAGTCACACACAATTCTGGAATATTTAAACAACGTTATAAAATGACAGCGTGTTTCCAAAATTGTCTGATCATAAAAATGAGGATAGGACCCAAGTCAGAGAGGAGCTCTTTCCCTTTTTGACAATGGCTGAGACGTGCATCAGACTGTGGGAAATGCCAGTCTGCTATTTTCTGGGAGCTTTTCAGTCTTTGGAAAAGTATTTGGAATAGTTCACTTAAGCTGCTGGGAAGTCCTCCTTCAATTAACCTTTTCTTGTAAAAGCATGTGATAAAGCCTAATTCTGCACTATGCTTCTTCCATCCTTGCTGTCACTTCTCTGAGGAACTTGGGACCTGTGCCTGCAGCCTCTTAAGACTTAGATGCACAGACGTCATCTGCAGTTGGGGAGACCAGAGCACAAAAAGGTTTGGTCAAGAAAACTGTACGAGTTGGTGCTAAGGTTTCTTAACTATGAGGATATAAGCTTGACAGAGGCATTTTCAGCTTCCCATAACTTCTCTGCCCTTCCCCCTTCCCAGGAGCACTGGAAGTCTGTGCCTTCTACAGTTGCTCTCATCTAAGTATGGTGCTGAGGCTTGTACCGAGCCCATCACTAAAGGGGAGAGCGAGAGCCAGTGAGCACGCTTCACTAACGGGATTCCTGCTGCTTTCTTGGCAGGGGCTGTCAGGGGTCAACCTACACTCTCCACTGACAGCCCCCTGTCACAGAGCCCCCAAAGGTGGTCTTCTTAGGTGCTCAGCGGTCACCCTTTTGAACTTTTAAGGTGTTAGAAGCTGACCTCTGTCAATCCCTGCTTAGAATCAACCTGCCAATGAGTATCTTTCCCTTATCTCTGACTTTCCTCATGAGCATTAGCTTATCTGAGGTTAGTACTTATGCACTCTGCCTTTTTACCCTAAAGGACTATTAAGCAACCCCCCGTTTAATGGCCCATTTAACTGGGAACAGAGAGACGAGCAGCATAAGCTTTGAGATCAGAAAGACCAGGATTCAGATTTTCCCTCTGTCACTTGTTACACAGCTTGGACACACTGTTTAACCCTTTTGAGCTTTAGTTTCTTTACTTATAAAGTGAAAATAATAATGTTAATTCTCAGAGTTGTGAAAATATAACTAACTCAAATAAGACACACGGTAGGTACACAGACCCTCAATAAATGTCAACTAACCCCATCACCCCCAAGTTTCCCCATGAGGGGATGGCTCATCTAACATTCTGGATAACAGTTCCTAAGGCATTATAATCAATATGTTAAAGTTGGTGTGAAAGACTGAAATAATATTGGCCATCAGTACACAGAACCTGTGGGGCTGGGGGCTTCTCTGGCGGGAAAGGGTAGCACATAAGCCAAGGGATGTTGCAGCAAGGAGTCGAGAGTCCAAGAAAAGAGAAGACAGATACATCTGAAACTGGGATGAGGATATTCTAACCATGTCCCGCCATCTATTCACGCATCACGGATTCACCGAGATTGCAACGTAGCAGGAGCTGAATGAGGCTCAGAGGACACGAGAGCAAGCAAGGCAGGTGAGTCCAGTGTAAGTAAACAAATAAACAGATAACGATAGGATGGAACAAGGGCTCCACAGGAAAACGGCTTGTATGGGGGCAAATTTAGGGCCACGTCCATCCGAGGGAGGGGCTGGGACAGTCATGTCTTTCATTGAGGTTGATTAACAACAGCAGTGCTACAGAGCCACGAGTCACTTCTCAGTACTAATGATAAAGACAGGTGCTTCAAAATCAATCAGCAGGACCTCACTGATTGCCTCCTAAGAGCCCGGCACTGGGCTGGACACTAGAAAACCAGGTAAGGAGATGATGCCGATGCACTTGCACACGACCTTACAATCTAACTGTGGAATGACGTCTAACACACAGAACAGGTAAGTTGCTGCAGGGTGCACGCAGAGGACAGCACAGCAGTCATTTAGGGCTGGGTGAGTGTGGGGCTGGCCGGGGGGGGGGGGGGGGGGGGGGGGCGAGGAGGAAGGGGGGGTGAGCTGGGCTCCACAGGTGTGACATGGGCAGGTGGAAGAACGGGGGGTTTCTGGGAGGGTATGCTAGCATTGTTAAACGTAGCAGGCAGGTGAAATCAGTGAGAACGGGGAAATGCCACTGCATTTGGGGCCTTTGGGAAATTAGACTGCCAGGGATTTGAGGCAACGCAGGACTGCAGTCAGGGTGCGTGTGTGTGTGTGTGTGTGTGTGTGTGTGAGCGTGAGCTCACGTATGTATTCCTCACGCGCGCACACTCACACAGTAGTGAAAGTTAACTGAGATCTGAGGTGGCAGGAGATGAGAAAACACATGAAATTTATGAAGAACAGAAGAAACAGATGTTTGCTGGATGGGAAGCACTATGCTGGAGACACAAAGTGAACAAGACAGGGCGCCAGTCCTCACGGCCTCAGCAGGCTAGCAGGTGTCCAGACAAGCAGGCAGTGGGTTAGGTTCTAGGACAGGGGAAACTCTAGGGGCTACGGGGCCCACAGGTGAGGCACCAGATTTTGGGGTCAGGATAATAAGCTTTCCCAGGGCCTCCTAGCTTCCTCCACGTCCACAGAGGGGTGGGCAAGAATATACTGGGGTGGTCGGTTCCTCCTGGGTTCCCCAGAGAGACTGGGAGCCCCTTTCTCAGGATGCCTTGATGAATAGGGTATACGGGTACCCCTGTCTGTGGGGAATGCAGGCATCTGGGGCGCTGGGTTACATCAGCTGGAGATGCTGCCCTCTGCAGGTGCGCAGGACGCTCGGGGAGGGGCAGCTCCACACTCTCCGCCCCAGTCCCTTCGTCTCTGGAGGCCCAAGGCGCCTTTGAGTCCCATGAGAATACAAAAAACCTTAAGGAGAACCCCGTGCGGCTTTCTATTCCGTTTCTCCAGCTTACCATGTAAGTTTCTGCTAGGAAAACTTTACCCACGGCTTAAATTTGAAACATCTGCTGGATTATAATTTTTTAAGCCCATACAAATAAAGCCAGTATTTAAAAAATCCGAGGCAGACGTAAGTTAAACCACCGCCCAGGCCTTCCCTGGGGCCAGCTCTGTGTGCAGCACATGGAGGGATGGCCCAGCGCCCTGGAGCGCGATGCCCGGGAAAGCTGGCAGGGACACGGCCCAACGCTTCTTCCCGCCTCTTTTTAAAATAAATTGTTTACCTTAAGGATGAAGACAATATAGGTGATGGGGAGGAAAACGTTGTTATTCGTCCCGTAAAATCATGCTCAGAAGCTAAGAAGCTAAACACAAGCTGACTGCCCTCCGCCCTGTCTCCCAGGGCTGGGAGGACGGAAGGTGTAACTTACTGTTACTGGCACTGCGGGACAGCTCCTCCCACGAAAATATCTTGTCGGGCATGCTTCATTGATACTTCTGACATGTTTAGTTAACGAAAGCATCGCGAGGTTAACACAACAAAGCGAGCCGTAACAGCTGCCTCCGTGCCACCTGAAAGGACCCTGAGGCACTTGCCCCTTGCCCGCCCCGCCCCCGCTCCCCCACCACCACCGAGGCCTTGGGTGGGAAACTTCCTTTGACTGGGTTTTCCTCCTCAGATGAGTAACTCTATCCATCTCTTGGTTCAGGGTGTTGTCCTTATACAAAGACAGGTGACATCGTCCTCCTAGGGGATCAGGGAAGCCGCTGGCAGAGAGCTAGGGACCTGGCATGTCCTTCTCTGCAGATCTTGTGGACACAGAAGAAGTGGGGAGGGGGGGTGTCGGAGGACATGGTGGTGCATGGGCCCAGCGGGGGTCACTGGTTCACGCCGGGGCTCACGGGGAACCGAGTCCTTTCCCGTGGGCTTCTCGAGGCCCGGCCTGCAGTCCTTGGCCAAGCAGGAAGGGTGAGTCACTGCTCCTCCAGCGGCGGCTTCTCTGCCCCGTCTCCACCGCCCTTCACTCTATTCCCAGGAGACACGTGCAAGCTTCTAGAGCATCTTCTAAGCATGACATTCACTCAGTGCCCCGAGGAGCACAGTGTGCTCTCAGAACATTGCTCAATTCTGTCTCCTGTGGGAAGGAGTCGACGTTTGTTTTATTAAGAACTAGCGTGAAATAAGCTAATTCTCATCCAAAAAAAAGAAAATGAGAGAGAGGGGTCTATCAAGTCTCCCATTTCGGCACATAGATAGAAATGCTATTATTCTTATTTCTGGAAGCCCAGGAGCTAATAAATTCACCAGGCTGACAAAGGAGGCTGGGCGGAAGCTGTCTACACAAGTAACGGATTTGTTTCATTCTGTACAGATGAGGTTCTCCTTTCTGACCTAAGCCATTTTCTAAGCATCGTCCAAGGGCAGCAGCTTCTCCCGCCAGGCTGGGGCAGGAGCTGTGTGGTCAGAGGAGGGCGGCCCGGCTCCCACCGGCCTCTGCTCCCCACACCGTGACCTCCGGCCGACCACGGCCCCTGCTTCAGTCTCATCTCTGAAACAAGCAGCTTGTCTGTGACAGTTTCCCCTGTGCTCTAAAATGATTCTAAGATGTGACATGAGGTGTGAGGCTGGTCTCCACTCTGGCCTGCTCCTAAGGGGCTTCAGTCGTAAGCCCATGAGTGGAAAGTGGCCCTGCCAAGAGAGAGACGTTGTGAATCACTCAAAACCATGAAGAACGTTGGTTGGCTCTGACTTCAGAAGGGCAGGATGAACAAATCCATGCCCGGCGGGCACCTGCTGACTGGCTGTCTCTGCCTTTTTAACCCCTCAGGGCCCGAGTGCTTCTCAAGAGCCTTCTGACGCTCTGATGCTTCAACGCTGTCAGGCTGGTACCCTTTGCCGGTTTCCGTACAGGCGGGCATGCCGAGTCCAGGGAGAGTGCTCATTATCTTTCTGTATGGTCACTGGGATTGGCTTTTTTGCAACTTCTACTCCCAAAGCAGATTAGTTCTCCCTCCCAGCACAGGTCAAAAAACAAAGAATAGAGCTGCCCTCCTTTTAAAATCCTCTCTCCAAACTGCACGCCCAAATCCAGGGAGTCTAGAGATTCTCTCGACTGGAATGGATTCTAGAATCAACTGACCTCTAACTTCCAAATGCATTTCAATTTGGCCTTTATTGATCTGAGATCATAAAGGTTGTAGGAATCAGGATATGGCTCTGGTTGCTGGCAGAAGCTGCATTAATTCTTCCTGCCTTCGAGAAACTGGGAACACTTTGGACCGTCCATAGTTTTGTGTGGCTCATGGAAAGTAAACAAGATGATAACAGAAAAAACCCAACTTCCTGGTCACAGCTCACAGCATCTTTGGCAACTAAGTAGTGAGTTCCCCGGCCCTGCTGAAAACTGCCCCAGGGTGGTCAGAGCATGTGAAAAAACCCAGCGCTCAAGACCATTTGCCCAAGAAAATGACTGGGGTTTTTGCCTTCAGGGACACTTCAGCTGCAGAGAATAGCTGGGCACACGATGTGTGAAGTTTAAAAAAAAAAAAATGAAGCTTTTTTTTTTTTTTTTAAGTTCAAGAATTGCATACTCAAAAAGCAAGAGACATGATGCCGTTTTCTCCGATTCTGAAAGCTCACAGTGGCCACAGCACAGTTAACCACACAGAGCATTTGCATTCAGGCAACTGTCTGATTAATTGTCACCAGACTTGTTACGGCCTTACAGGAACTGAATAAGCTGGGAGTATGTCCTAAGAGCTATTCAGTTGTGAAAATGTAGAGAGCCTTCTGTTTTGTCTTCTGTAAAATCTAATCAGCTAAAATGACGACTTGGTGATCAGACTTGCGATTCTTTTGCTACTTGAAAAAGGCTTATTTTGCCAGGCAAGGAGACACTTAACTTGTTTTTTTAGACTGAGGTCATCTCTATTCACTGGTGTAGTAAACAAGCCAGACTTAAACAAAACAAAACAACAACAAAAAACCCTCCTTTCAAGAACAACACTACATTTTTATCTTCTCTGAGATGAACTAAAAGCACCATAATTTTTTAAAAACAACAGCCATCAGAGTATCTATGAATGATAAAGAAAAACTTAAAAAACCCTAAACCTCATTTGCTCATTTCCGAGAATATTGACAGCTTAAGGTATCTCTTCATATCATTTTATTCCTTAAGCTCTCTTAACTTACAAGTCCTAACAGAATCTTAAACCATCGTTTTAAAATCCTCTTCATTCCATTCTTAAAGATACCCGTAAATGGATAATTTGGGTATGTTCAAATAAAACCACCACGGCCCGTACGTATAATTGTGAAAAAAACTCTTCGTATTTTGCCAAAGATACCAGCTAGAAACTACCATTAGGACAGTTTCCTTTTTGGTCTTCAATTGCCTTTATTTCACTTTCCTATCAGCTCGGTGACACTCTAGATGCATAAAGCTTTCTCCGCAGCTCTGGCGGTGCCCTGAGAGCCTTGCAGAGCCGGGTGAAGTGGAGAGCTCCCGGTTTGCCAGGGCACGGTTCCCAGGGCGGTGACTCAGCTCTGGAGGCCACCTGCTGCAGGGGTGCTGCCACTCTCCGGGTCATTGCCAGTCACGAGGGTAGAAGGACAGGACAGAGCTGAATGGACCCAAAGAGTCAACAGCTCAGAGCCAGGTCAAGGGCAGCGTCAGAAGGAAAACCTTTGTTTATAGAAAGTCCAGCCTTTCCAGGTGAGGCTCTGCGTAGCAGAGGGGCTTCACACCTGGAGGCTAAGCATCTTGGTCACCACCTGGGCCTCTGGCTGCGGTACAGAATGAAGGCAGGGCCACAGGGCAGCTCCCACTTTCAACACCACTTTGATCAAGTCACCATGGTTTTCAAAAGTAACAAAGGGCGTCCGCTGCCAGCAAGATAGCCCAGTGCTTTTGAGGTCTTTCCTCTACCTAAGTCCAAACTTCCACCAGGGCGTTCTCTCGACTTCCTTTAGGTAAACCCTCTGCTCCAACTAAAATCGGCTGCCTCCACCGCCCCACTCTGCGGGGCTCCCTCCCTCTGGTCTGTTTTTCTGTTTTGAGAGGCCGGTTGGGTTGCCAGCAGCCACAGACACTGAGCTACTCCACCCGGGATCCTTCTCATTCCTTGCCCGTTTTAGGTGTACAAAACCGCTAAGGTTCAGTTCAATATTCCCTTCTTGCTCTACGGAGCCTCCCTGGACCACTCGGGCACGTCACCCTCTCCTGCACTCACAGCACTTACGTCTTAACGGTGCAAAGCCAACCGATGTTTACTCAGTCCCTCCAATGTGCTAAGTCCTTTCAGTCAATGACAAACACTTAAGGGACATGTGCTCCACGTCAGACAGCATGTCAGGTGCTCCGAGTATGAAGGGAAAAGACACTGTCCCTGTGGCAGGAGTTTACATCCCTCGCAGGACAGAAGTACGCGAGCATCGCCACCTAGCCCGTGAAAGGAGCTCTGCCTGCAGACTCAGCAGGCTTTACGGAGGAACTCTAGGCTGAATTTTAAAGGAAAAGGAAGGTTTTAACGGAGGGACAAGGTTGGACAAGGAAGGAAGGTGGGCGCTACAGAAGTAAGACGGCGAGTTCACTTCGGTATCTCTGCAGCTTTGGGTTGAAGGGTTGGGGGGCACACGGGACTGGGAGGTGGGCCGGGGCCTGGGCATGTGGGGCTTTGCACTGCCCGAGTACCTACATTGTATGAGGTGGATCAACAGGGTGTGAGAGAGGCGGACGGCAGGGCTGGCTGAGGTCAGGAGTGCTGAAGGGCTGAGGCACTTGGACATACATTATCTGGCTCAATCCCCACCACATTCTTGAGCTCCTTGCTTGGCAATTAATCACACACGGCCTTGTGACACGTTCACATCTGCTATCTCGTTCCCTAACGTGGCCTGCATGCTCTGTCTTCTCCCCAGCTAGACGCTCAGCTCCTTGCAGGCACAGAACAATGCCTTCTCTCTGCTGGCCCACAGTGGCCAGCACAGGGCCTCATACCCACAGACGGTCAGAAACACATGCCATTTTTCTTTTCCTTCCCTGTTCTTTTTTTAAAAATCGAAGTACAGTTGATTTAACACAGGTCTTAATTGACACTTCAGGATGTGCTCTTGCCGCCTGTCAAATAAGTAATTAAGTCCATCAGCAAATAATTCTTGAGACCTAGACTCTGGACGGTACTTAGGGCACATATCAAAAAGGTGTGCAATACAGGCGGGTGGGTCCACAGAAGCATTCTGAGAGGAGCAGGAGGGCGGGCTGGAAGGAGGGCTTAGCTGGCCAGCTCCACGTCGTGATGGACTTCTCTTCGCCCGCACTGACTGGCTGTGCCTTCACTCTTGGGCCTGGAGCTTAGCTTAGTTCTTTCCCGAGCTCCATCACGCCCAAGAGGAATCAGTCGGTGATCTGGGTCTTCGCCTGCTTTTATCCTGTCTCCCTTTATTCCCTCTATAGTGGTGAGCAACAGTGATATGCCAGACACTGTGACACAGAGAAAAAAAGTCTCCCCTTTCAGGTAGCTTATGTCTTGCGGGAGGGGAAGAAAAGCACTTGGTTATAATGCGGTGTGCTCACGTTTTCTCCCTCCCCCGCCCCTTATTACATTACATCACATTATCTAATGTAATCCAGAGGGCTCCCTGAAGGAGGTGATACCTGAGACGACTCCTAAGAATGCACAGGTGTCAGCAGATGAATGGATGAGGAAAAGAGAGGAACACGGGCAGAGACGCGGTCCAGGGCAGAGAAGCGGGCCTCAGGGATCTTCTGAGAGAGGCACTGGAACCTGGAAAAGGAGGAGCTGTTAAAGGGCTCTGAGTAAGAGAAAGACAAGCAGATTTACATTTTAAAAAGATCAGTTGGGAGGCCAGTGGAAGAACTTATTGGAAAGTAGTGACCTTGGAGTCCAAAGAGGGCAAAGTACGGATTAGAAAGATAACAAAGCAGAATGGTTAAGCCCTGGATATGGAGTGACACGTGTAGAGAGAGAGTGACCGAGAAAAGTCTTTTAAAAAAGACCTTTAAAATGACTGCATTTCAGAGAGCCTCCAGCAACAGGTTACACACGCACTGTTGATGCTGGCCACAAGGGGGCAGCCTCACACAGCCATTCCATGGCCAGACCCTCCAGGATGTAGGGAGAGAGATTTCCAGGTTTTTTGTGCAGAAAACTGGGAGCGCTTGGTTTTAACCACCAGAAGTGGCTAGCCTTTTCTAGGCCTTTTGGACTAACAATTTTGAGTGATGAAGAATATCTACCATTCTCAGCTTAGTTCCTTGTAAAGTCGATTTAAGACACTGTTATCTATTCAGGGTGGTTCTCTCCTTACCCAGAGATCTGACAAAACTTCAGGTTTGTGACTTACAGGCAATCAGCACAACTTCATCTGCCCTCGACCTGGCTTCCTCTTCCCGGATTGCTCACCTCTTCAGCTCCCCCCTTGGATTCACAGATGCCCCTCGCCAATCCCCAAGGGAGTCCTGGACTCTCCTACCCAGGCAGCCTTTAAAGATGTAATTCCTGGTGGAGGCTGGATGGAACCACCCAAACTTAAGAGAACGGGGTTCTCCACCACATAGGGCGAAGCCACCAAGTAAATTCTGGAAAGGAGACACAAGCTCTCTGAACTTGCCCCATAAACATAACTTTTCTCCCACTGAGAACCTCTGTAGAAAGCATGGAGTATCAGGTGGATAGGTGTGAGCTGCATGAAAGCTGGTGGTCTTGTCTCTCACTGGGCTATCTGAAGGGTAGCCAGCCAAGCCCTCAGAGAAGTGTGTCGGGCGTTTGAAAATGTAGACTGAGAAGGAAAAGTTTTCTGTAAGTTTTCACCAAAGAGAACCAGCTAGTAAAGAGCTTGGCCCCATGACCCAGTCTGACAATGATCCTTGAAACATGCTGCCGGGACCTTGACAGGCCCAGGGGCACCGTCCCCAGGTCAGCAACACTGCCCACCTGAGGCCCCGTGTCCCCCTGCACAGTTATCTGTGGGGGCTGCTGGAGCCTGTGCTCTGCGTGGGGCTGAGCCTTTCCTGGGGAGGCAAGGGCTGCTGTGTAAGCAGCCGGGGAGGAAGGCAGGCACAGAGAGGGCGCCAAGACCCCAGCCCAGGGCCCCCTCGGGCTTCCTGGGTTGTCACTTGCTCTGACTGGCTCTCGTGACCACGCAGGTCCATTTGCCTGAAGAGGTAGGAGAAAGTGACAGAGACTCCATCACTGGAACCAGCGTTTGTGATCCTTCCCAAGAAAGGCAAACCACCTTGCAGGCACTGCACACACTTTAACCCATTCAGGCCTCACAGCAGCCTGTGAGGTAGGTACTACTGCCATTTGACAGACTAGGAAACTGAGGCACCAAGACATTAAGCAACATTAACGTGCCCAGAGTCACACAGCCAGCAAGTGGCAGAAGTGGGTTGCAGACCCAGGTGGCCTGACTTCAGGGCCCGTAGGTTATATCCTGTCTCATCAACAGGGAGAGGGAGAGGCCCGGGAACCTCCCAGGGTCACTGGTGCTCACGGGCTGGCATGGGTATTGGGGAGGGGGCGGGAATTGGATGGAAGAGACAGGGATCCGGCCTCCTAATCCCACCCAGTGCTTCCTCCACACAGTACGTGGTGCCTTCTATGCTCTTACTGGCATCACTTGTTCAGAGGGCCAGAGAGACGGACTGGCCCTCAATCAAAACAGCGACCAGCCAAGCAGAAGTTTACCAAAGAGGCAAAAACCCTTGTATGGAAATTGACCTACACTTTTCTTACTACAGACAGAAGCCCTCCAGCTTGCAAAAGTGATTCTAGAGACAGCTCGTATATTCCAGACAGGTTCCCTTCCTTTTATCACTTTTCGCAAGTTGTACTTGGCTTATAACCTCACTGAAGTTTTCAATTGATTTACCATCGCTGGTGGTTTAAATCGGCTCACCCCAAATTTTAAGAACCTACGCGTAGAGGGGTCATGTCAGCATCAGAACTCCCACGCATGCCTGAATCACCTCAATGTAGGAAAAGAGAAAAAGAGTGAACTATGTCCCCAGGCCCCGATTTCCAGAGAAAACCACACCTCAGAGGGAAGGCACTGGTCCCTGGGTGGGACACAGAGCCCTCTGAGAGGCCCTCTAAGCAATGTCACAGACTCGAGCTGAATTGTGTGGGCTTCAAAGCTGCTTCATCAAATCGGCAGCCCACCAGGCCTCATCAATATTTGAAAGCATAATAGAGAAGTGAAGTGAACCAGAGCAAGTGCGCCCGGCACTGAGCCTCCCGCTGGGAAGTATTGCGGTAGGGGAAGAACCCATGTCTCAGAGCAGCCCTGACGGACTAAAAATATCTCCTGCTTCTACTCTCATCCGTCTGGTCACTGTCCCAGACGCAAGCTCAGCACAGCCTGGTCCACAGAATCTATTACATCACCGTCTACCTGCACTTCGTAACTGGATAGAGAAGGCGGAATAGTCTCCTTTTTTTTTTTCTCATGGACTCGAGTACAAATTTACAGACTAGGATATAATGACATTCTATTCAAAAACAGGCGCCAAGGGTACCTGCTTCAGCCTGGCATCTCAGGAAAACTTTGGAAGTGGAGTCCTTTAAAGGAAATCACTTACTTTAACTGCAGACTGGCAATGATGACTCACCCCAGAGATCCAGCTAAATGCTGGCACAGGAATTCTTAATGACAGTGTCAAGCAAATAGGATCTTATATAAAGGGAAACTTCTGCGTAAAATGCCTGTGGACAAGCTGCTCTGACCTCCTGCATCCTCAAAGCTCTTCTGCTCTGTTGCATAACCCATAACCTTGAGAACAATCGGCCCTTCCTGCCAGCAGCTTCTCCGTGTCCACCTGCCCCTACAGGTAGTAAAAGACAAAAAAGGATCGGGAGCAGTGTTTACACAACATGTCCCAGCACTCTCTTCCTCCTGGCCTCACCCCACCCCCCGGCTTCGAAGTTCATTTCTTCTAAAATGGGGGAGAGGTGATTCGAAGAGCGAGGGTGCGCGGCCAAAGAGGAGGGACGCGTGGCCAGAGGCCTGCCCCGACCTCACGGGCAGCACAGGGGACACACGGGACACGGGACTCAGGACTCGGGAGGGACTCGCCAAGCAGGAGGCCGCCAGGCTGCCCGCTGGGGAGGCCCAGACTGGAGGAGGTTTAACGTCAGAAGAGGGCCTCTCCCGCCCCGCCCGCTCGGTGGACCACCAGAACCTTGGGGGCCAAGAACGCAGGTTCCACTTGGCAGCCCTGACCGGGGTTTTTGTTTAAATCCTGCCGGCCTGGCTGTGTTCCCGCTCACAAGACTGGCACGTGTGACCCACGGTACAGCGGGCAGATCATCGGTTTAAAACCAGCTCCACTTAAAGTCACTGTATAGTCCCTGTGGGCATATTCTCACACTTTGGGGCACCTGGTGTGACTACTGGGTTCACTAAAATCTGCTTTTGCCGTATATCCTTATTTATTCCCCTCAACAAGTAACAGTATCAGGAGAGGAAAGTGGCAGGCAGCCTTCTGGGGACAAGAGCTCTCCTAAGAGCCTGGGTGCCTGGGCCGCGGACACTTCCGGGGATCATCGAGCATGTCCCTGAGACCTCTGGGATGGACACCTTCCAGAGCAGGGAGGGACCAAGCTGAAGGCCTCTGAGGGGCCGCACCTGCTTGCCCCTCCCTCACCTGGGCCACACCTGCCTTCTTCCTGATCCTCAAAGGCCAGACTCATTTCCCACTGCAGAGCCTCTTTTTTTTTTTTTTTTTTTTTGCGGTACGCGGGCCTCTCACTGTTGTGGCCTCTCCCGTTGCGGAGCACAGGCTCCGGACGCGCAGGCTCAGCGGCCATGGCTCACGGGCCCAGCTGCTCTGCGGCATGTGGGATCCTCCCGGACCGGGGCACGAACCCGCGTCCCCTGCATCGGCAGGCAGACTCTCAACCACTGCACCACCAGGGAAGCCCTCCAGAGCCTCTTAAACGTGCGGTTCTTGGTGCTTGGAACCTTCCCCCCAACTCCTCCGCCCACATACTCCTTCCCATCCTGCAGCTCTAACCTTGGAAATCACCTCCTCACAGAACCACTTGAAAGGAAGGCCCTCTTTCATCAGAGAGCACCTCTCCCCTCGTCTCATGGAGCCTGAGTTTTAATAGACTGCTTTTCTGTGCATTTACTCAAGTGCCATGGTGACAGAGGTCGCTGTCATCACCGTCTCAGCGCTGACCAGTGCCTGGCACATAGCAGCTGCTCAAGAAATCTTTGTTGACTGAATGAGCAATGACGCCAGCCTGCCTTGACCTCCCTGAGTCACTCTGATCTGTGAATGTCCTGTAGAAGGTACTTCTAACTGCATCGCCATTTCATCCTGACCTTGCCCACCCCCCAGTTAAACCATAATAAAATGCTGGGATGGCTTCTTACTGTGGATAACCAGGTACAAAAGGAGACGTCCATAACTGACACTCCAAACCACCGCTGGAGGAATTTATGAACTTCGTCTAACGTTCTATCGTGGTGGCAAAATTAATTCCTGTGTGAAATTAAAAATTCCTCCCTTTGACAACATTCCCAGGAGTACCTAGAACAGAGCAGGGCTGAGTATTAAATCCTGAACTTTTAAAGTTTAGGAAACGTTGCCCCAATCTCTCTCTGCCTGACTCTGTATTCTGCGGGTTACCTGCTTACGGAAATGACGACAGGCCCTGCATTCCAGGTGAGTCCGTCACACCTAGCTCTGTGTGTCCAAGACGCCGCCGGCTCACTAGCTTGCCCTGCCGCCCGCCCCAGCCCGCCCCCGCCAGCA